GATTATGCTATGACCAAAAAATTTATCAATATTTGCTGGCTGCATAGAGATCTTTGTGAGCAAGTGAAGACCCGATATTCTGGCCTTCCTCAGCGCGTGCAAGTAAGACGATTTCCTCTTAATATATTTTTTACGTGTCGCAGACAAAAAAGCTAGTTGTTTGGCCCCTGCCTGCTCTTGTTACATCACTTATTGCTCTGAATAGATTGCTGTCGCTTGCAGGGCAGCTGAGGGAACCTAACCTTTAAGGACGAGTTTGGAGATTACAGCAATTTCTATGCGGGAGTTGAAATATGCATAGATTAGGTCGTTCCGAAAGTAATGTCGCTTTCTTCGAATGAACGCCACTATTCGTGGAATCAACAATTTCAAAAGATCTTAAGAGCATTCGATGCAGCATTTCATCCTATTTCTAACGGTTATAACTTCATTGCATAATTTTCATTGAGCTTTCGAAAAATTAAGAAAATCTGCAACTCATGCTTTTCGCCATGGCCAAGTTCGGCAATTTTTTCAAATTTTTGTACCTATTTTCCGAAGAAGTACAAGTGATAGATAGATAGCAAGCCTTATAGGACACAGAATGATTTTTTTCTTTTCCTTAGCTTGCTTCTTAAAGTTTCTGGAATCAGTTTCAAAATACCATCAAATTCCATATTTGGTCAACTCAAACCTTACAGAACAACAACGGGCAAGCAACTCGGGTGTCATTCGACGCAGCTTTTTCTCCTCTTTTTATCAGTTGTTTTTGGTTTCCGATTCATCAAGTTTTCCGAGATAAAATCATTATTCAGGTTTTCCAGGGCGCCTCCGGCTGTACCCGGAATTTTCGAAAGTTGCTAATCTGAAGCGGTAAACGCTCATTTGCTTTGCAAAATTAGTGTAAAACCATATCCATTTTTGTAAGTTTCAAATTCCGACAATTTCTTGGTGTTTGATGCATTTGTGTCTGAGACGAGTCCGCTAAAATTCGGTGGTTGCATAAAAAAACCTATACAGAAATTATGACGAGCTCTGCAAAGTAGAAAAAAGTTGTGCTGTTTCCCGTAGGGTTTGCTCTATCCATGCATAAATTGGACTCCTTCCGGGGGTTGTTATAAAAATTTAGAAAAATTGTGAAACTTGACCTTCTCAAAAACCATGGGTCGCAGATTACGATAATTTTCCCAGAGGTTATTCACATCAGAAAGAGAATGAAATGCTGCATCAAATGCTTCCAGAATCTCTTACACATCTTTGTTCCACGAAATGTGGCGTACGTTTGAAAAAAGCGACATTACTTTCGGAACGACCTAATATTAACCCATTATACTCTTGCCCACTATAAAAATTTACAAAAGGTAAGTTCAACCCTTACACATTATAAAATTTTACATAAGTTAAATCTACGTATAGTGCAAAGAATTTCTTAGAGTAAATTTTCGTGGGCACGTGCTTTTGAAACTTGTATTTGTTATGGTGCTCATATAAGTACAAAACTCTTGGAAAATTGCTGCGTTGAACATACCAATTAAAAATCAGACAGAACTTTTGAAACAGCTTGGTATAATTAATTGAGACCGACGATAGCAGACAAATTTTGCTATCTTCACACTGATGAGGTTTAGTGATAGTATAGAAAAACCTTTGATACAACTGGATTGGTGGCCGGAAGGCGGGGCTTTGTGACCTAAATAAGGCCGCTCGCCCCGCGACGCAGTCGTGTCTCTCTCTCGCGCGTGCTCTCTGATCATCCTCTAGCTTTAACTGAGTCACGAAGCCCCGCCTTCCAGCCGCCAATTCAGTTGAATCAAAGGATATGTAACGAGTGACTTATTCTGATAAGCGTGATCAATACACACATCAAATGTCGCCTTATGATCATAGTGTGATGTATACGAGAGTGCTCCACTAACTACCCTAATTTCACGCGTGTAAGGCGCACTTTTTCGAATTTTCAAGCGAGCCGCTCAGGTCTCTTCACTGTATTCCGAAAGAAATCTTTACATCGCACGAGCTGGTCGATTTTGGAAAAAAAAACCCACGCGCCTTATACGCGTGAAATTAGAATAATATTGTGCCATTTTCAGCGGGTGCCGACTAAGCTTTTGGAGTTTGGACTACAAATAAAAACTTCAAAACGCTAATATAGCGGCATACAACGCTTCCGACCGGTTTGAAAATCGGTCGGAAGTTTGAGTCATAAAAGAGAAGAATGGCTATTATGGAGAAACCACAGAACCAAAAAAAATTTTTTTCCTGCACAACCACTAGAGAACTCCCATGCATCTGCGGCGACCAGCTGCTCTTTCACCATCTTTAGAAATTTGTTTACCCGATTCAGAGTTTTTCCATATGCGATCAATAACTTCATGAAATGATTCACGCATTATTGTCTTCGCCGATGATTTGCATTACACAGCGAGCCCTTTTTCTTTGCTCATACATTGCAAAAGAAGTTTTTGACAGTCTCATGAACGATAACGTATAAATTACCCTTAAACAGTCGCGCCTATTGTGCTGTTTATTCAATCAAACTCCAGAACTTCCTGGTCGTTTTCGAAGGTCACAAAAAGTGGTTGCTTACGATTTGGCTTTGCTTTTCTATCGTTCTACAGATATTCTCTTGATAAGTTCTGGAGATAGTGTTTTTGCTCTTTTTTCCATATTTAAATAAGAAATCCGCACATGTAAGTCGTCTTTTTAGCATCCTCGTCGTTGACAAATGTCCGCGAAGAAAGTGAAATACTTACTTTTGAGTAGACCGAGCAACCAGTACTGTAATCGATTCAATATTATGGCCTTGAGCTTGCTCTCTGGCCAGTCTCTTTCTCCAATAATCCTTGATTGAAAAACTTCTTTACCTGAACTCTGGCTATGGGCATTTTTGACCCAAAAGCAACACCCTGACTAAAAGAGACGAAGTGAATTCTATTGATCCCGGGTATTCATTGATCGAGACAGATCCCTATCGTGGTAATAAAAAAACGGTCTAAGAATGATTGAAGCGAAGTAATAGAAACACTCAGCTTTGCTTTTCATGTTTTCCTTTGAACATCAAAGGTCCGAATTTTGAGAACAAAGTAAGTAAACAAAAAGACAACTTGTAGAGATTTAGTTGACTTAAGTGGAATATGGGAGTCAAACCAAATCGTAGTTTGCTCAGTATCTCTTATGCCACACTTTTCGCCACTCTTCTCCCTTCTTCGCTTTTTCTTTAGACGGTTGCTCGGTTATTTTTTCCCGTCACACCACGTGATAATGTTGTGACTATCGATGTAACGTCCCTGAGAAACATCTATCAACATCTACAAGAGCTTTTTTGATCCCGGGCAGAATCTGGCCCTCAAAAATCTTGTTGTTTATTTCTATGTGGCATTTGACGAGTTAAGCGCATTTTTAAAGCTTCTTTTTTCGAGGAGAAATGACCACTGATTAAACTGTTGCGCAGCGATACTACAGTTGTTCACTTCATACTCTTTAATGCACTTCTGCATTCGAACAATCACGTAACAACATCTTTCTTCATAAGTTTCATGTACTGTATTTATGCGGTATCTTATTTTATTCATTTATTCTGTTAGGTCAAAGTCCAATGGAGCGAGAACCTCCAACTGGTCTTCCCTTTCTCGTCTTTCCCGCTCCCTCCTCCTCCTTCACAAAACTCTAAACAATTCAAGCCCATTGTTGAGTCATGGGTGTATTCATTCTTCCGCTGCTCATATGATACTAGAAGACTGATTGAGTGAAAGGAGTGGACTTTGTGGAAAATGCCTTTTTATTATTTTATTTTGATGGCTAAAATTATGTACATAGTGTATTATCACATGTTAAGGTTGTGCTTCGTGAATAACTGATGAGAGAGTTTTCTTGAAGAAAGCAATGCAGCAAAAGCAATTATTGTCATGTTAAAGAGCAAATGACGACAATTGTTATGACATTTAAAAAAATACAAAGGTGGGGGAATCATCGCACGCGTTTCAACATTCGACCATTTACAAAATATAGGCTTTATGGCACCATAATATGCTTTTTGTTATAAAAAGTGTTTTATTAGAGAACGTTGCCTTCAGCGTTCATCGCGTTCATTTTTTTTATTCTAAAGGAGCTCTTTACCATCTTTTTTAAAAAATATAAGAATCTTTATATGTACCCACGCTTAGAAACAATACTGAATCAAATATTAGATCGTACCAAAAGTCGTTCGCACCTATTTCAAAGATTCATAGCTTCTTATTTTTCCAACCATTTTGCCGGCTTTTACTTTTGCTTTGAAGGAGCAAATCGTGCTCTCCGTAAAGGTCTAGTGGCTTTCCACTAAGCTTTTATTGCGTAGAATAGAAGCGGTAGAAGAAACTGCTCAAATATTGATTCTGTGTTTGGTCGTAAAATCTGAAACTTGGAGTAAAATTCCAAGCACTTGGTATTGCATAGGAGCAAACTACTGATTATGTCTTAGTGAAAAGTTATGATTTTCGAGAAAACGCGAAAAAATATCAAAGTTGCTGTTTCGTACTGCTCGTTAAAAAATTATAACTCTTAATCAGCACGAACGCTTAGTTAGAAGAGGCAAGTAATCAAAAGTATAATATCAATTGCTCCGATTACTGCAACTTCAAATTTTTTACGACTGAAAAGAGGAAAATTCAAATTTGAGCTATTCTTCTACCGCTTCTACCTATGCACATTCTCAGGAGAAAGCGGCTAATGACTGTTATGAAGAACTTGCGTTCTCTGAAACAAAGATAAAAGCAAGCAAATCGGTTGAATTGGAGGTTATGAATTTTAGAAATTGGCGAGGACAAATTTTCGGGACGACCTAATACGTAAATCCTTTGGTGAAACTATTCATATGTTTACCAAGGAAATATTGATGAGTGTATATCTTCTTGCACATTTTTTCTTCACATTCAAGCATTTTCAGCATTTGATTAGCATATCATTCAATTGCGAATATCATCAATATTTTCGCTCGGAATCGTCTGTTGTCGAAACCTTCTACATTCGGCTTCTGTGACCAGCGAAGTTAGCTCGTGATGTGTGTGTAGCTGAGGATGTCACTGCCTACATTTTCAGATTTATCGCAAAAGTTATGTATCCTTTTCGAATACTATTGCTTCTGTTAGTAGTTTGCTACTGTATAGCGCTCGAATGCTACACTGGAATCAAATACATCAAAGGTCGTAGCATGGGTAAGTCACTGTATTTATTATACATTTTTTCAGCATAGCAGGCTGATGTAAGTCTGCCTACAAATAATTTTGCTACAAGAGCTGGACTTGCAGCTGCTCTTTCATTGATAAATTGTCAGATCGATCAAATGCATCAGTTTTTGGACAACTTCCTGAATTGAGATAACGGCCTGTAGTAAAGCTGCTTCATTCGATCTTAGGCTCCGGGCAGATGTCGCGATTGAATCGCAACGAGACAACTGTTACAACATCATTCCATGCCGATCAACTTGCATTCGGTTGTGATACTTTTCCAGTCCGAAATTTCTGAATGTGAAATGAAAATGAATGGAAATCTTGGCGATTAGATCGCGACGATTAGATCGCGTGAAGTCTGTCCGGGGCCTTAGCTGAATAAAATCTCAGATGAGGCTTCGACGAATCAGCTTGCCTTCAGCTGAGCCATTGATTGATATTGCCAACCACCCACGGTGACAAGATTGAGGGCGCCACGTCCATGCAAGTATACGAGTCAAGACGAGTTTGCCAAATATTCACATCTACGTCATTGGCACTAGCGGCGGGGACGTGGCCGCACTTGTTAGATCTTGTTAAGTCTCGTCAGCATCACTGTGGCTCCTCAGCGATAATTTAAACTGACGTGTATCGTAAGTTACTACTCAGGAGCAACTTACGAGAAGTTTCTCTGCGTATCATGATTGGCACACTATTTACATCAATTGGTAGTCTAACTGAATGTGAACTGGTTGAGGTAAGGTAGACTACCTCGTCAGGTAGACGGACGGTCAGCTGAAATGTCATTTTGCATTCTTACGACGTGGAGAGCTGGTGATGGGCAGTCTACCTTACTGATTCTTGGATGAGGGCCTCAGTTCCACCTGAACTGAATTAGCTTTACTACGGGCCAATTACTGATCCAAGTATAGCTGCATGCATTGAGTATAAAGATTAGAACAGCAAAGCATTATGCACAAATCTCACAAAAATGCGAAATTTTCTTTACTAAACATGCAAATCGTCTTCAAGTGCTGGTCCGGGGCTGTTAATGGTGACCGCTGCGCATCGCATTCTGTTAGGTAGGTCCCAACGTTCGTGCCGTTCTTTAGACCCATCCTCAAATCATTCAGAATAAAGACAGACGAACACCACTCTAAAGATGTTCTATGCTGCATGCATAATTTCTTCCTTTTTCCAGAAGTAGTTTTTGTTCGGATTTCTTCACAGTTCTTTCAAATAATCGCCACAATCTCAGACCTATGCAATTTACGTACCCTGACTTCAGCTATTTTTTTGATTTGGACTTTGAAAAAGCTTCGATAACAATAGAATAGGATAAATAAAATGCTACAAAACCCAATTTTTCATCAATAGCTGGCTTTGCAATATTTCTAAAAACAAATTTCTCAAAAGTCTTCACATTTGCGAAGTCGTGATGTATACAAGCGCTTCAGACACTATGAAATTTTCGCGAATTGGAATTCTCAAAATACCGTCTCGAAATTGATTTTTGAATTTTCCGGGTGCAGCCTGGGACGCACAAAACTAGGCTTACGGCAATTTTTTTTCGGGTCATGAATCAGAAAGGAACATCTGCTAAGAAGAGGAGAGGAAGCTGCGTTAAATGACACACTAGCTGTTTGCCGTCTGATGTGTCATGAAGATTGGAATGCCTAGACATGGAAAATGGAGGAGAAGAAGCTGCATCGAATGACACCCAAGCCGTTTGCCGTCTGATGTGTTATGAGGATTGGAATGCTCGGACATGGAAAGTGATAACATCGGAAAAATATTTTCAAAAATTTTAAAAAGCCAACTATCGATACCAAAAAAATTTCATTACATTACATTTTGTTTACTCTCTCTTAGTTATCAAAGTATTTCCAAAAGTCTAGGACAACAATTTGAAAAATAGCAAAAGTCGGGGCAAATAAAACCATGTATTGAAGTTTTACGATTTTCCAAGCGAACCTTTTCTAAAGCTACAATTAGAATTTCCAAATCATATTAAATCCTCTCAGTGGTAAGGTATTACCAGAGCCAAATAAATTTATCTCTCTCCGGTTCACCTTCCGTGAGTTGCGAACGGGAATTTCTGAGGAAATTTCTAGACGAAGATAATTTTTATTTCGATCTTTTGGGTTCACAGAATTTTCTGATTTTGGTTTACATGGGTCAGACTTGGCGCGAAGGCATGAATGCCAGCTATAGAGCTTGCTTTGCTCTAACGAATAGCGTTTGTCACGCAATCTTACGCCTGGATGCGGTGCTGTAGCAAGCAAATAAGAAGCGGCATCAATTTGGCGACAGCCTATTATTAATTTAATGGAAATGTAAGTTGAGTACAAGCTAGCTTAAGAGAAGGGCAATGACTTCGATTTAGCACTTGTTGAATACAAGCATTTACGCTCATCAAATTCTTGTCTGCCTTGACCTCCGATGATGCTGACCATACGTCGTTGAGGTACATCGACGAAGAAATGTGAGCGCCCTTCTGATTTTTGTTACAATGTGTCTCTCGATCTCACGCAATTCAACGAGATCACAATGGCTGGCTGTTCGACGAATAGATGTATGGTAAGCCACTAACTAACTTTTAATTGCTTCTCAGAATGATTTGGTTAACAGTACCGAAGACCTGAGGTAGAACCTAATGTTGAGACTGCAGTAGTAATCCCAACATGAGGTTCTATATCAGGCCATAGGTCACTTGTCTCGTTTTTTGAACCCTCGACATTGGTGACATACTTGAGGGAGTTTTAAAGATCTGACAAGGGATGCTACATAAGAATTTGATAAGACGAAACTGCAGAATTCGTTCTGTAAGGAAATTTATACGACTAGAGAATGGACATATTTTCGATTCTCTAAGCTTGCATTAAAGGCACCATCTAGCCAAAATCGGGGTTGAGGAGATAATGATGGCATACTAGTGTGGGCCCTCACACTAGGCAAACCTCCCAAGTTGAGCCGCAAAAGACTGCTTCCGGAGCGAGAAGTTCGTTCCGAAAGGAGCAAATGTGAAAGTGGTCACTCCACCCAGCTAGTTGCCGTACCTACTTTGCAGGCTTTCCCTCGCCTGCGCTTATAGCGGGTTCTTCAAAACGAAGATTAATCGAGTACACTGATTACCAATACAATATTAGTTCTTGAAATCATTCGTTACTTTCACGACGTTATCAGTTTTTTGCAAAGTTTGAACTGCGGGGCTGGGAATTGGCACAGGGCAAATGAGTATGCCGATTACGAATACAATATTAGTTTTCAGAATTATCCGCATCTTTTATCGATTTTATTGATTTTTCTGCAAGGGGATCTCCGGGACTGGCAGTCATAGGAGGTAAATGGGGAGGCATGCTGATTACGAAAACAAAAGGCGATAGAATATTGGGTAGAAGTGGGCACAGGTAAAGGGTTTGTACAGGAATAGGGATAGTGACCTTTAACATAGTGTTTTAACAGGGCCGGGCTTAGTCGGGTATGCCAGCTAGTCCGAAATTAAAACGAAGCAGAATAATCAGCCCCCCCCCCTCAACTAAAACAAGCTTAAAGGCAGCGTCCGAGCAAAATTTCGAATGAATTTTCTTCGCTTACCTGGGCTTATTTCTCCCACTGATACTGAAAATGCAGCTTGAAGGGCACGAAAACGCCGAAAACGGTCTTTTCCAGAAGCTCTTGGTTTGAATCTTGTCGCTTGCCACCAAGGTTAAGATGCAGAGTTTTGTGAGACCGTACGTCTTGGACTGTGTGCAGTAGGCGCACTCTGACTTATCGAACTAATTCGTACCGGTCGCCGGGGCGCTCCGGTCGCCACTTCTGAAGCGAATTCCTGGCTTCGGAAGCAAGTTGGTGATTGCCAGTTGGAGAGTCTTACCAGACACGAGCGCCCCTGTAATCTACATTTTCGTATCTGCCCGGACGCTGCCTTTAAGGTTTCGTAACATTAATGACCCTCATAAAAGTTCTGGTTTACACCACTGCACTTTTCTTTTCAGCTAAGCCCAAACAAATGCATCAGGCAGAACTTATTAGGGCACGAGATCGTATTCTGCTGCTGTAACACTGGTGACCTCTGCAATTCGAAGCTTACTGTAAGTATTTTACTGACTTTTCTTTTTTCCTCTTGAGTCTCCGCTATTGAGGTCAATGGTTATTTATGAATTTTTCAAGATATAAACATATACTAGTGAATGGAGGAAGAAGGTAGATCTTGTTTTTATGCTATGAGCATCTTTCACTGAAACCTCTTGGAATGACAATTAGTGTCTGCAAAATCAAAGCTGGGTTTGGTGGTTTAAAGCTGGTCGTGTATTGATGGATATTGATACCAACAGATATTGGTTGAATTTGATGTGGAGTGCTATACTGTTGGTTCAGTTTGCTTGATAAGTCAAGCTTTTGTTATTTTCGGCTTGATATTTAGAAGCTGAAAACCAAGTGTCTCGTTGACGATAGTGGAGGGGTGTGTGTTATTTTCAAAGAAGCGGTGTTAAACCAAGGAGTGCAACTTCTAATAGAGTCGGGGACTCCTTATACAAGTAAGGCGAGCTGACCCATGCACAATCAAGCTGTCGGTGATATAGAGGGATGAAAGGAAGAGCCGTTGCATGGCTGGGCCCCTGAATGGCTGCCACTCAATAGTGAGTGACTCGGTACGCAAACTTAAGCGATTTGGAACATAGCCCTTGGAGATGACCATAGTCTATTAAGACTACATACAGAGTTGTCTTACTCTTAATAGTCTATGGTATAGTCTGAAGTTGATGATACATAAATCCTCTATAGAAGCAAAATCCAGGAAACTTTGTTGGACTTCTTACGTGAGTACCCGTGAGACATAACTATTTGATTGCCCAAGCGGCAGCTCATATCATTTGTGATGAATCAAGTTTCAATCTCTGACTTAGACCAAATAGGGCCCTTCACGTGCGGCAGCATGATTTGAACTGGAGATTTAATTAGAGATGAATATCTTTGCCGCAAGTACCCCATTTGGGGCGGAATATAACGTCGTTGAAAGGGGGCTACGCGAACATTTGCAAGAAATGCGCTCCTCTTGCATGTTGAAAAGAGAGCTTCGTATTTTGAAACTACGGGGTTCTAAATTTCACACCGTCTATGTATTCTCAAGTGTTTTTCTTACCCTCACTAAAAACATATCAAACGGGAGCGAGAAGTTGTAGTTGCATTTTTCAGCGTATGATCCCCAATGGTCTCCGGCGTCCCACCTTCTTTCCGTTTGTTTTTCTTCCTTAGAAGTTAATGGAAACATCTCAAAATTATGCAGGTTATCTAATGCAACAGTACCAAGCGTGTTCCCAACGAGAAAAACGGTGAATCAAAGTGACGAAAAGCTCGATGTATTTACCACAAGTTGAAACTTGAGATTATCAAAAGTCTGAATTTTCTAGTAAGTCATTTGCACTTATCAGAAACAGTTTGGCATTGTTGTTTCAGATAATCGGCACAGTTTTGAGATTCATCGACTCAAAACAAAACGTCTTTGACTGAAAAGTATTCGGCCAGCGGGGATCATTACGGATTATACGAAAAGCGAAACGCGGCTTTTACGACTTATCGTTGTTACTGAATATATGTATAGAAGAGGAAAGTAGAATTACTTGAGAATGGATAGAAAGTGTAAATACGGAACTCAGTCGACTCAGAATGTGAAGACTTCTTCTAAGGTGCTATTCCGCTCTCGAGGTGCTAATGTGGACCATAGTGTTCCCGCCATGTGCGCTCCCGCTTGGGCAACATCTTATTGTTAGTTAGGCTCTCAAAATCACTGTCCGGGTCTTCGTAGACGCTGTATTGAAGGCCTTTTAGTCAGAACTACACAGCAGAGGATAAGGCGTTCTATTCGAACAGAAAACGCCTCTGATCCCATTCTCAGGCGGCGGGTATATTAACACCAAGCTTTTGTAGAGCTGCTCTTTCGAACGGGTAAATTCAAAAACTTATCTTGTTTCATCAAAATTCAGGACTCGTAATTCTCTCAGGCAGTTTCAAACCCAGTTAATTTGTTTTCTGGCGCTTCACATTAGTTGAAGCAATAAAAGGTGGACTTCGTGAAACTTCTTCTGTTGGTGTTGTTTTGCACGCTAATCACAATTTATCACCTTCGTTTGCACGATAACGCCACCTGATGGAGTGGCGGTAAGATTACAGTGGGAGGGAGGGGGGAGGAGGGGGGGGGAGTCAAAATCACGAATTTGCCCGAAATTTTCTTCTAGGGGATTATCTGGCGCTCTGAACATGAATGTCAGATCCATTCCTTCCGTAACACCATTGTCTCGGATGGTGGGTCTACGATGAATGGGTCATAGTTCCAAATTTGCTCGGAATGTTGCTTAGAGGAGTTCTCAAGCATGCTGGTCACTAATATTCTTATTCGCTGCAACACTACCTTCTCGTGAAGTTACAGTAAGCTGTAGTAACCGTAGAACAACCTTTCTAGCCCAACTTAAATTTCAAAAATCTAATCAAAGGTTTTTGTCATGCAAAAGAGCGCGATATACGTGATCAGCGCGTCAGATGACCCTCATGCACAAAGTCTCGATAGGTCTACTACTTTCGCCAACTACTGTATACCCAGCGTGACTCCGCTTCAACTCTGTTGAAGCGCAAAATGAGTACGATATTCAGCATGCTTAAGGACAACTTTAGGCAAAGTTTTGACAAATTTGGAATTCTATACGCGCCGTATCCTATGAAAATAGTTCCACTAAATATGATATACATGACCAGCGTGCCGATCAGCCCGTCTAGACCAAGTCTTGGGCAAATTCTTGTCTTGACTACTTACCGTTGTCCTACCGTAGCTCTACCATATGCCACTACCGTGCAAAAAACATGTGAGATCGTAGACGGCGTGCAGAACACCCCCCTCCCCAAACAAAGTTTTCGCCTCGATTTTTTCGGTCATAAATTATGAGTACCCGGTTTCTTTATTTGCTATGATGACAAATGTGTTGCATAGCACATTTGTTTTTTATTTTCAGAATCTCACCACATACGAAAAGCTGAAAGAACGAGCAAAGGACATTTTCAAAGGTCTCTTAAACATCAAATGGTAGTGAACTCAACTTTGTACAAAGCTGTACTTTGTATAAATTATAACACCTTGGATTGCTTTATTTTGCGTACAGTAGTACTACTCAAATTCTGTAATCTTTCGAATGTTCGAATAACTATGCCAAATGATAAATGTTGTGGCAGAGAAAATAGAATGAACAGGATTTTCTACTAAACGAAAAAAAAAGATAACATGAATAGATAACTTTAGAAATCTTCTCACAATCAGCTCTTGTCATTTGTCGCATGTATTCACAAAATTCAGACCATGAAAGCTGGCCATGCTCTAAGGTACTACTGTTGCATGGATTTAGTAACGAGCTGCTTTTCTGAATTAGAGGCGGTCAAATCATGTTTGTAATTTTATAAGACATGAAATTACATCATACATTCCATCTGAAGTGCAGCTAAAGGGGGTAATTTTTCCTCTGTCAGCACAGAATGAATAAATGGAGTGCCTTCTCGTATCGAAAATTGTGCAAGAATAACCAGCGTAAGAGCCCAAGTAGTTCAGCGTCATATAAACAAAGGAGACACAAGAGGGTATGTTCGTCAAAAATTATTTCTTCCTCATTTGACCATTTGATCCTTCCTCCGAATGAGATCTGCACCTGCATGTATTGACTGTTTGAATCACATACTAATTGAAGTAAAAATTGTATCTCGGATAATACTCGTTCATTAAAGTTTTTCCCTTTTTAACTAATCTCTCAGACAGTCGACAGCATACCTCCGGAGCGAGAGTGGGAGGGTGCCGGCGTCTGCCCAGCGGGGGTTTGCCACTCGAGCTCCGGAGCCCTCCCATTTTACCCATTTTGGTGCTCCGGGGCTCCTGGCGCACCTTCGAAGCAGAGATTCCTGAGCCCCGGGGAAAGATCCGGAGGTGCGCCATTAAAATTAGTTGAAAATTCCTACCGTAATCCTACAGTAACTAAATGAAATCGGAATGAATGAATGAATTGAAATGAAACCATACCGTAAATCTAAGCTGAACCCAGCTCTACTGTATGACACTCAAAACACGAAAGCTTTCCATATAGGGAAGTTATTTCTAGGTTAAACGTTCGATACATTTTTTGGGACACCCTTACTAGGAAGAAGTACTCAAAAAGAGAAATCCGTCGCGCTCAGGTCAGCAAAAGTCATATTTTTCGAATTAAAGACGCGAACTTGCAGAAGATTGATTTGAAAATACTTTTATCCCTTTGTATTAGTTGAATGAAATGATATTCGACTATTACTTGCTGCGACTATTACCTGAGCTTTTTCAAGAGAGCGATAGCTCAATAAATTCAATGTTCAAAGAATCGAACTCTCCACGTATTTTGAATCAGCCAGTTTGGTTATTAAGAAAGACCTTCTATGATATACCTAATAAGCAGTGGCAGACAAGGGGTGCCCTCACCCCCTCCCCGAAAATGGTTCGCAAAATTTTTGAAAATAGTCTACATGAGACAAAAAAATCTGTAAACTACTCGTTTTCGTTCAAAAAAAATTGAGACAATGTTTTGAAGTTTTCTCTCAAATAGCTTTGAAGTTTTTTTCGGAAGCGTGGCTAGCCACGCCTATTTATTCAAACTGCCACGTCTTGAAGAGGAGCAATATTGTTGATGGAGAGTTATTTACGGTCTTGTGTCATGTGGTCCGAACAAGATCTTTTATGGAAGGACTGAACTTCAGAACTGACTCCGAAATAATTTTTTCTCGTATCTATTGTTTTCTTGATAATCAGATCCTAGTGTAGAATTGCTTCGCAAAAATCACATTTTCATAGAAACCTTAAAAGATAGTCGATATAGTGTTGAAGGCATGACTATCGGTTGTTCTGCACTTCCTTAAATAAATAAAAGTTTATTTGAAAAACAAGTTGTCAGCAGGACATTCCAATAACAGGGACCATGGAACTCAAAGAATAGATTCCGCAGCTTTGTTTGCGCAAATATGGAAGTTCGCTAAGATTCAGCTGGGGGAGTTCAATAGGAAAAGAGCACCTAATCCTTGGTAAGTTTGCTAGAACTATACTGATTCACGTTAGAACCTGGATCAGCTTAATCTTCAAGGATTTTCAGTCCAAGAATCCCGCAGTTTCAACATCAAATTGTTACATACTACAGGGGAGCTAAATCTACTTGATTATATGGATTACTCAACCGAATCGTCAGAAGTGGCTATAGTCTCTGAAACATTTCTTTTATTTCTAGCTATATGGAGATGTACACACGGGACCGCAGCAGCTCTTGAAGTCGCTAGGTTGCTTTGGTAGCGACTTCACAAGACCTATACAGTCTCTACTGCAGCAAACTTGCTTGGTTTTCATTTCTTCACATGCAGCGTATTTTGTTTTTCAAACAAGAATTGACAACTGGTACTACACCTCATCAAAATAAGGGTGAAAACAGCTAAAAAGTCTCACTTTGTAGTTAAGTTTTCTTCATCGTTTCATTTCTTGTCTTAGATTCTTTTCTTATTGTAACATTTATCTCTTTTTTACTCCCATCATCTAATTTTATACATTTATTCTCAGACAGTCGATCGGACCCCTCCGGCGCAGAAATGGCAGGGCCGCGGGGTTTCCCCAGCGGGGGGTCTGCCACTCGTGCGCCGGAGCCCCGATTTTGTGCGCCGGAGCCCCCCGATTTTCTGCGCCGGAGCCCTCCCATTTTGTGCTTCGAAGCCCTCCCATTTTGTGCTCCGGAAACCTCCCATTTGTGCTCCGGAGATCTCCCATTTTGTGCTCCGGAAACCTCCCATTTGTGCTCCGGAGCCCTCCCATTTTGTGCTCCGGAGGCCTCCCATTTTGTGCTCCGGAGACCCCCCCCACTTGTGCTCCGGAGCCCTCCCAATTTGTGCTCCGAAGACCTCCCTTTGTGCTCCGAAACCTCCCATCTTGTGCTCCGCAGCCCTCCCATTTTGTGCTCCGGAGACCTCCCATTTTGTGCTCCGGAGCCCTCCCATTTTGTGCTCCGGAAACCTCCCATTTGTGCTCCGGAGCCCTCCCATCTTGTGCTCCGGAGGCCTTCCATTTTGTGCTCCGGAAACCCCCCATTTGTGCTCCGGAGCCCTCCCAATTTGTGCTCCGAAGACCTCCCTTTGTGCTCCGGAAACCTCCCATTTGTGCTCCGGAGCCCTCCCATTTTGTGCTCCGGAGACCCCCCATTTGTGCTCCGGAGCCCTCCCAATTTGTGCCCCGAAGACCTCCCTTTGTGCTCCGGAGACCTCTCATCTTGTGCTCCGGAGACCTCCCATTTTGTGCTCCGGAAATCTCCCACTTGTGCTCCGCAGCCCTCCCATCTTGTGCTCCGGAGACCTCCCATTTTGTGCTCCGAAAATCTCCCATTTGTGCCCCGGAGCCCTCCCATTTTGTGCTCCGGAGACCTCCCATCCTGTGCTCCGGAGACCTCCCATTTGTGCTCCGAAGACCTCCCTTTGTGCTCCGGAGACCTCCCATCTTGTGCTCCGGAGACCTCCCATTTTAAATCTCCCACTTGTGCTCCGCAGCCCTCCCATCTTGTGCTCCGGAGACCTCCCATTTTGTGCTCCGGAAATCTCCCATTTGTGCCCCGGAGCCCTCCCATTTTGTGCTCCGGAGACCTCCCATCCTGTGCTCCGGAGACCTCCCATTTTGTGCTCCGGAAACCTCCCATTCGTACTCCGAAGACCTCCCATTTTGTGCTCCGGAGAACTCCCATCCTGTGCTCCGGAGACCTCCCATTTTGTGCTCCGGAAATCTCCCATTTGTGCCCCGGAGCCCTCCCATTTTGTGCTCCGGAGACCTCCCATCCTGTGCTCCGGAGACCTCCCATTTTGTGCTCCGGAAACCTCCCATTCGTACTCCGAAGACCTCCCATTTTGTGCTCCGGAGAACTCCCATCCTGTGCCCCGGAGACCTCCCATTTTGTGCTCCGGAAACCTCCCATTCGTACTCCGAAGACCTCCCATTTTGTGCTCCGAAGCCCTCCCATTTTGTGCTCCGGAAACCTCCCATTTTGTGCTCCGGAGACCCCCCATTTGTGCTCCGGAGACCTCCCATCTTGTGCTCCGGGGACCTCCCATTTTGTGCTCCGGAAACCTCCCATTTGTGCCCCGGAGCCCTCCCATTTTGTGCTCCGGAGACCTCCCATTTTGTGCTCCGGAAATCTCCCACTTGTGCTCCGCAGCCCTCCCATTTTGTGCTCCGGAGGCCTCCCATTTTGTGCTCCGGAAACCTCCCATTTGTGCCCCGGAGCCCTCCCATTTTGTGCTCCCGAAACCTCCCATTTTGTGCTCCAGAAACCTCCCATTCGTACTCCAGAGCCCTCCCATTTGTGCTCCGGAGCCCTCCCATTCTCTGTCCCGGACCCCTCCGATTTTCTGCTCCGCGGCTCGTCCAAATCTGGCGGATCCGCGGCGGTCAAATTTCTCCGCCGCGGCTCTCCCAAATCTGGCGTACCTCCGGAGCAGAAATGGCGTACCTTTGAAGCAGATCCGGATCCCCACTCGCCTGCCGGTGACGTCACCGTGACCTACAAGAAGGGACCGCCCTCTCGCCCCGCTCTCATTGGTCAACTGGGTCCGCCGCGGCTCTAGATTTCGACTGTCCGGCGCGACTACGGCACCGATTATCTGAGTTGAACTCTGCCTGTTATGTTTGGCGCAAAAGCATGTCCTCAGACAGTCGACGGCATACCTCCGGAGCAAAAATGACCGAGCCGCGGGGTTTCCTCAGCTCGGGATTGCCACTCGTGCTCCGGAGCCCTCCCATTTTGTGCTCCGGAAACCTCCCATTCGTACTCCGGAGCCCTCCCATTCTCTGTCCCGGATCCCTCCGATTTTCTGCTCCGCGGCTCGTCCAAATCTGGCGGATCCGCGGCGGTCAAATTTCTCCGCCGCGGCTCTCCCAAATCTGGCGTACCTCCGGAGCAGAAATGGCGTACCTTTGAAGCAGATCCGGATCCCCACTCGCCTGCCGGTGACGTCACCGTGACCTACAAGAAGGGACCGCCCTCTCGCCCCGCTCTCATTGGTCAACTGGGTCCGCCGCGGCTCTAGATTTCGACTGTCCGGCGCGACTACGGCACCGATTATCTGAGTTGAACTCTGCCTGTTATGTTTAGCATGTCCTCAGACAGTCGACGGCATACCTCCGGAGCAAAAATGACCGAGCCG